ATAGAATAGAATAGAATAGAATAGAATAGAATAGAATAGAATAGAATTCTTTAATGACCAAGTGTGATTGGACACACAAGGAATTTATCTTGGTGCAAATACTCTCAGTATACATAAAAGAAAAGATACATTCATCAATAATCTTAATACTTAATAATAGTCACATAATAATAGTCTCTTAATATGATCACAGAGGTCATTGATATAGCGTATGAAGAGTGTTGGTTCTAGAACACTGCCTTGGGGGACACCACTATTGACAGGTACAGAATTTGATAGGACACTCCCAATTTTGACCATTTTTGTCTGTTTGACAGGAATGCTTCTATCCAGTTATGCAGGTGTCCAGAGATACCATTAGTTTTAGGAGTAGTTTGTCATGTACCACTGAATCAAAGGCTGTACAGAAGTCTATGTAGATTGCGTCTATTGTTTTGCCCTGATCGAGTTGTGTAGTCCATATGTTTTGCAGATTACAGGATAGTTTTTTTCTGAAACCAAATTGTTTATTAGAGAGTAGGTTGTTTGTCTCTAAGTGGAGGATAATGGATTGGTTAATAATTGATTCTATGACTTTACAGGTGATGCAGCATAAGGAGATTGGTCTGTAATTTTCAACAAGGCTGGGGTCTCCCTTTTTGAAGATGGGAATGACCGTGGCTTGTGACCATAGGTTAGGCAAGGAGCTGGTCCTGAAATATTTTTCAAAGATTATGCTTAGAGGTTCAGCTATGGCAGTGGATAGCTTTTTTAAGAAGTAGGCACAAACTCCATCCGGTCCAATAGATAGAGATGGTTTTAGATTGCATAGTGCTTTTTCAACATTGTCTTCTGTAAAATCAATATGTATTAGATCATTATAGTTTTCTGTGGTTCGGCTAGGAAATACTGGGCATAATCTATTGCTGTTTACAAATACTGAGCCAAATAATGTGTCGTCGTTGCAGTCTTTACCATTAGGTCCTATCAGGGGTGGGATGGACCTTGAGTCTTTTAGCTTGTTGTTTACAAAATTGTAAAAAGCGCGGGTGGAATTGGTGCGTAGAAGGTTTTCCTCTTGTTTAATGTGATAATTGGTGCATTCAGTTTTTATCTGGTGGCATAAATTTTTGCATCGGCTTTTGAAGTTGGCAATGTGACCAGATTTGTTTTTCTGCCAGAGTGAACTCTTTTTGGATTGAAGTTTCCTTATTGTTATGGGTAATTGTTTTTTTGGGTGGGGGGGAGTTGTTGTTGGTACATATAGTTTGATGACTCTTTTGACTTCAAGTAAAAATATGTTGTAATGGTCTTCAACAGTATTGCATTCAGTGAATAGAGATTGCCAATCAAGGGATGAGAGATTGTTGTCTATAAGATGATAGTAGCCTTTTTTGAAGTTATAATTGGGGATTACGTCATTGTGATGATTGTGACAATGTTAGAATGCCAGCTCCACAAAAGGTGAGTATAATTGGGTATATCATGTATATTGGGTAATATACATTATAAGCACATGTTGATGCTATTTACCTTCAAAAAAAGAATGCAAAATTATCTAGTGCACACACATTGGGAGCAAATGTCCCACCTGTGTTTTAGAATCCTAATTTGTAAGTAGATGCCATGTAGGGACACCTATGTGTCATTTCAAGTTTGTTGCTTATTTTTTCAACTATTTTCCCCCAAAGAAATGGATTAATTACCCCACCACCACCACTGCACCAGTTGTAGCAGTTAAACCATAAACTTTCTCCAAGATTGCTCAGAAGAGAATCAATCCTCCAGTTGTTAACTCTTGCTGAACTGCTTATCTACTTTTATTTTTCCAGGCAATGTAAATCAAAGCATCTCACAGGGAAAATGGACTCTGGTGGGTATAGAAGATATTTTTGGTTTAATAGAGATTTACATTGTGCATATTTCTCTCAGGGCTTTACAATAACTTGCTTTTGGGTATGTGGATTATTTAGGGTCATTGTCATTGAGGGTAAAGGGAGACTGAAGGCAAAAATTCTGAAGTATTTTTAATTTGGGTAAAATGGGTACATTTATACTAAATATTGCACATTCACTCATCTTGGGTTTTTTTCTAGATCCATCAATTGCAAGTGCTGAGAATAAAATGGGAGCCACATTTTCTCTTTCCACCTTTCATAATTTTTTCCTAATCAACGGGGAACTGCAACTTTCTTTGGAGAAGGCTCCAGCAATTATGTTTCTTTCTGTTGATTAATGTAGTTTCTCTTAATTGTGAATGCAGATTAGTCTAAAAAAATAAACATTTAAAAATATATGCCTATGCAGCGTTATCATGGAGTGTTGTCTTTATTTCTGTGTTTGAAGATTATCATTTTAGTGGGGTTCAGGGCATATTGATACTATGTTGATTCTGATAAAAGAAAAACCCATCATTTATTTATACTTTTGAGTTTAAAGCCCCAAACCAGAGGTGGTACTCAACAGGTTCTGACCAGTTCTGGAGAACCGGTAGCAGAAATTTTGAGTAGTTTGGAGAAGTTTGGAATACCACCTCTGACTGGCCACGCCCCCATCTACTCTGCCTCCCATTGAGTCCTAGCTGATCGGCTGGGTCTTCTTTTGTTGCCCTGCACAGGAGAATGGAGCTAGAAAGCAGGTTAATAGGGTGGGGAGGGAATGGGATTTTGCAGTATCCTTCCCCTGCCATGCCCACCATGCTACGCCCACCAAGCCACTCCCACAGAACTGGTAGTAAAAAAAAATTGAATCCCACCACTGCCCCAGACATAGTTAACCCCATGTTTCTTTTTTAGGTCACTATGTCTTATAGACTTAATAGATATATTAAGTGACTTTCCTAATGTAACCTTAAAGTCCTTTAGACAAAAAAAGGTCTTTTTTGATCCTGGTACATTGCTGCTATAGCACCCCACCACTTAGAAATGAATAATTATATTCTTATACTATGTCCAGAAGACAATTGCTCATTCCTGATTTGTAGGTAAAGAAAAGTCTATGTACATTTCATTATAACAGAACATGAGGTGGGTGACATTTGAGATTAATATCTTTTTTCTTTTCCTTGAATAACTGGATAATTTAGTGACTAACAACCTGACTCTCATTTTCATGGAAATGCAGCCTCATCTTTACACACTCATTTATGACAGGAATTTATACTTCATTTCTCAAAACTGAAACAATTCCATTGCTGTGTGGTAACAATTCTGGCTACACTCATTCAACATGGCCAGGAGATGGCTACACAGCTTTCTTTTCTTTTTCTTTTTCTAAATAAACTGTATTCGATTTTCAAACAGTTTAAAAAATATAAAATAAAAGTATATACACAATTATACCAACGTCAAATACATCATTTACATCTTATTTTTATACATAATTATTTCTATTACATTACAATTACATATTCTTTTCCTTATTCATCATATACTTTCCATTTATTTTACATTCAATGTACAGTATATAGTTTCCTATTTTTTACTTAATTACAGCATTATTTTTGTCCTATTCCTAAACTATACATACAAGGCATCCCAGACTATATAGTATATCGATTCCTCCTTTTATTTTAATTTTAGAGTCAGCTTGTCCATTTCTGCTCTAATTTTTTTTTATAACTGCTCCCTCTGGTGGTATATTTCCCTGTTTCCAAAATTGTACATATGAGATCCTAGCAGCAGTTATTATGTGCAGCATAATATACCTATCGGTTTTACTGTATTTCCCTTTTATTATACCCAATAAAAATAATCCTGGTTGAAGTTCAATTTGTTGTTTTATTATTTCTTCTAGCCATATTTGAATTGTGCTACACATATTTCTTTTTATTTCTTTGCCTCCTTTTCATAGTCAAGAATAGTTGAGACCCAGCTTAAAAAATAAGATTTCTGTCATAGAGCTGTCGACGTCCGGAATGCCCTACCTGATTCAGTTGTCTCTGCTACAAATTGTCACTATTTCAGTCACAAATCGACTTCCCTGGATCTTACTTCATACTTAAGTGGTCAGTAAAGGGGGTGTGCATAAGTGCACATGTGCCTATTGTCCCTGTCATTATATTTTTATTCTCTTACTCTTGTTCTCATTTTTGTTTGACAAATTCCAATACATAAATAATAAATGAAAAAAAATCCACACTGGCTGAAAAATGTGCTTTTCACTTTTGCTAAGGGTGAACATCGCTGTGCTTGGATTCATTTTTGAGTCTGCAAATGCTTTGGATGGAGGCCAAGATCTTCCACCTGAAATTGGAAATTGGGACTGTCTAGTTTAATGAAAAGAGGAACTAGGGGGTGACATGATAGCAGTGTTCCAGTATCTAAGGGGCTGCCACAAAGAAGAGGGGGTCAACTTATTTTCCAAAGCACCTGAAGGCAGGACAAGAAGCAATGGATATAAAGTAATCAAGGAGAGAACCAACCTAGAGCTAAGGAGAAATTTCATGAGAGTTATCACAATTAATTAATGGAATGACTTGTCTTCAGAAGTTGTGAGTCTCCAAACCAAAATTTCTAAAGATTAGACTACTTGACTGAAATGGTATAAGTGTCAGGATTCTGGCAGTTACTCCAATTAAAATCATGAGCCTCGAGCCACACTCCCAAAACTAAAAAGGATTTAATTGAAGTTAACATTCTACATCTGGCATTAACCTGGGCGTAGCCAACTCTGAGATAACGTAATTCACTGTCACCTTTGATCCTACTTCCCCTCCACCATCCCTCTGGGTGTATCATCCAATGAAAAACGTCCATAGCCAAGAGTCATCAATCATGCTTTCCAATTAGATTTTTGCGTGGCAGAAGCTTCAGTCATCTAGTCTTTGAAGAAAATATGAATGGAATGTATTTTCGATTCCACACTGCTGCCTGCTCTTTGAAACTCCCCCCTCCCTTCTTTCTGTTGTCAACTATAAAACGTGTACACAAAATGTTTTGAATTGACAATAGGATTTCCTTCTTGAGCAGAGGAATTAGACTAGAAGACTTCCAAGATCCCTTCCAACTCTTGTTATTCTGCTATTCTGTTATATCTGCCCAGCTTGGATTCTCATAAGCATCCCATAGACAAGGGAGATATATGCCAAGCAAATGAAAATATGTTTTTTTAAAATGTTATCCTAAATCATTAGCAACCCCAAATCAAGACAACATATGTATTTGTCTGTTTTCATTCTACCCCCTCCTTTTTAAAATAAAATCCTGCTTCTTTTTATCCCTTTTAATGGCAGAAATAGTTTAGTCTTTGCAGTTCAGGGAACAGCTCCACAATTATTAAAACTAGGAATGAAATTATAGAGAAGATGAGACTGGCAAACAGCTATATTCTGAATCTCAAGTAGTATACTACTTGGTCAATAACCAATTCAGAGTTTACAATATTCACATTCTAAAGGGAAATAAACATGGAAAGCAAATGGATACATGTGTAATCAGAAATGTATCTCAGGACTGTTGGATATAGAGTAAGGGTTGCTATAGTTGGGGACATAGACCCTATGATTATAATGTTCATCAATCTGGGATAGTATCAGCTATAGAGGACAAGAAGAAACATGAAGCATCTCCTTCCCTTGATTAAAAAAGTCATAGGTTTATGGAAAAGGGAACCAGCAAGAAAGATTATTTATGGTAAACAGATATTACAGGCTCCATCAAGTTGTAAGTCAGAGGAACGCTTGTATGAAATATATCACACTGCAAGATAAATACAAATACTGCATCAACAGAGGGATAGCATCAAGATCATGTCAAGTGTTAATTACTTTATAATGCTTTGGTAAGACCATACTTGGAATACTACATCCAGTTTTGGTCACCATGATACAAAAAAGATGTTGAGACTCTACAAATAGTGCAAAGAACAACTAAGTTGATTAGGAGACTGGAGGTTAAAACACATGAAGAATGGTTGCAGGAACTGGGTATGCCTAGTCTAGCAAGGAGAAGGTGATAGCAGGGGTGATAGAAGTCTTCCAATATGTAAGAGGCTGCCACAAAGGAGAGGGATCAACCTTTTCTCCAAAGCACCTGAAGGTAGGACAATAAAAAGAATGATTTATTTAAAAAAAAACACAATCTTTTGGGGCAAATATTTTATGGACCCCCTAAAGCCCATCCACATATCCCAAAAGGGTCCAAAATCCAGAAACGTTATTCTAAACACAATGCAAATAATTAAAAACTCTTACTCATATCTGTCTAATTGCCAAAAATGAGAAATTAGAATCTCATAGCAAAAAAGTGCACTGAACCTGCTAAAACAGTAAATGAACAGTATAAATATGTATGACAGGGAAGCAGAAGCAGCATTATGTATAAAAATGCACAGTTGCACTGGCAAGATAGTGCCTGTACATGAATAAGTGAAAGAAAAGTCAAATATAATTCCAAGAATATAAAAGACCTGTATGAATTAAAGAGAAACTAGAATATGATTTAAAGTTATTCATCCAGAGAAGAGTTTCCTAGCAAGGCCTTTTGCAATTGGTTCCTAAGATACAGTATTGTCTTCCAACTTTGCATCATTGTAGACAATGACTGAAGTGTGTCACCATAAATATTTCCCCAATTTATAGTACATGCATTGCAGTGAGTGAATCCTCAAAAAGATTCAAGAGGGATATCAAAAAGAGAAGATGGAACACCACCAGCTGATCACCTTTACATATACTTCACATGACAAAGCATACCCAGAGTAAATGGCAGTGAAATTGTGGTACAAGTTAAGAAATCAGTTAGGGTAAATAAATCTGGAAATAAAACATTTGCATGAAAAAAGGCATCCATGGGGAAAGAGGCAGGCAAGCAAGAAGGGCAAATTATAATCTTTGGCTAAAGTCATTTTTTTCTTCTAGGCAGTCTGGTCTCACACTGATTCTTAGACAGTACTTTAAGTCTATATGATTTTTAAAAAGATTATTGACTTCACTAATCTAGGATTCTTGTTGGAGGGCCTAGTTGAAAAGGCTAGAAGTATTCTAAATTAGTATTTCTTAACCTCAGCCAATTTAAGGTTTGTGGATTCATAAAGTCATAAAGAGTGTCATAAAGCTACAAAGTATCATAAAGCTACAAAGAGTGTTTTTTTTTTAAAAAAAAGATGAAATAAAATAATTAGAATATACAATTTAAATAAGTGTTAATAAAAACAGAAAAGAATATAGAGAACAGAGATTAAATGAATTACATTTGAACAAATTAAAAATCTATAAATAAAGTATTAAGATAGAACTACCTAAATCTTTAACATATTATTAAATCTTTAAAGCCATATGGATATCTGTTGCTCCATCTT